AGGTGTTGACTTGTTCTACACTCTGGGGCAGGACAGATGCACACAGTGGGGTGGTGTGTCATCCTCACTGCTGATGGCCCCCCCACGGCCCCTTCTGCCTATCCACCGCACTGGAGCTGGTTGGTGCTCCCCATTTCTCCACCTTGGAAGCCTACTACCCCTGGGAGGCCACCCGCACACCCCACAGCAAACAGGGGCGTGGGAGATGGAGGCTGGGCCAAGGACAGCACTGAGCAATGACGTAGTGATGCTGGCTGGGAAAGGGGGAAGAGACACAGAGAAGCAGTGCACCCGAGGCTGGGGCAAGCAGTCTTGCCTGGTGGACAAGGGTCTGAGTGGGGAGGGTGGCAGGAAGGGACCCTGGGGCCACCAGAGGAGAACCGCGGGGTCAGGGCAACATGTGCAAAGGCCCCAAGGCAGGGCATGGCCAGCAGGCAAGGCCGGAGGGTGCTGCGGGAGCCATGGTGGGCCTCCAGGCCCTGGAGGAGACTCTCAGGCTTTCACTGAGAAGGAGCGGGGGTAAGTAGGGGAGGGCAGGAGCGGACACGGTTCTGGGTAGAGAAGAGGCGGGGCTGGGAGAAGGGTCCAGGTCGGGCTGGGCTATGAAGGGCGGACAAGGGGTGCTGACACGGGGCTGGGCGGGGGAGGGCAGAGGAGTCAAGGGGGACCCCCCACAGTGAGCGAGTTCCCAAGGAGGGCCTGGGAGGAGCAGGACATCAGCAGCTCCAGGAGTTGTTGGGATCAACAAGGGGCCTGTGGACATCCCCGTGGATGTGGCCGAAGGGTTAGGAGCGTGGGACGTGGAGAGGGTACAGTGCTGGACAGTCACAGGCAGGTGCCACGGTTGGATATAGGGGGAGCAGCTTGGGCCTGGGCCCACCACCAGTGAGGCGCTGGGTGTGAGGAGGGTAGATGGAGGGTTGGCCCGCCGGGCAAGGCTGAACCCTCAGGGATCCCTAGCCTCCCTCGGAAGCTCCAGCACCATGTGCCTGACATCCCCTGACTGGGACTCCGGTCATGTTGTGTCAGCCTGTCCGTCAACCCCGCCCTCCGAGGTGTCTGGCACTTTGGACGTGACTCTGCCAAATCACCATCAGGTGCCCGTGTTCCCCCCATCCCCACCAAATCACCATCAGGTGCCCGTGAGCCTGGGAGTGCCATGCCCTGTGCTCTTGAGGCTCTGCCCATCCCACCTTACCCTGGCCGGTGCCAATGCCCAGGTGCGTCAGGTTGGCCGCGAGGTTGCCAGTGCTGCTGGAGCTGCTGAGCGCAGGGAAGGTGGGCTCCTCGGGGTCCAGTGGGGTGGGCAGTGGGGAGGGGAAGTGGATGTTGGTTAGGTCGGGCAGGGAGCCCCCCGTGTTGTGGGCAGCAGGGATCAGGGCCGTCGTGTTCTCCTGGTCGGCAGACGGGAATATGCTGGGGAGAGGCAGATGGAGGCGGGCTGAGCCCAGGCCGCGGGAGGAACCCATGGGGGACAGCAACCCATCGGGGCCACTGTGCTGGAGAAGCCACCGTAGGCGGCACCAGCAGCAGGATCCCAGAACAGCCTGGGTGGGGGCTGCAGGAAAGTCACTGGCCATGCTGGGGAGGGGAGTTGACGCCAGGGGCCAGGCTGGGGCGTGGGCTTGTGGGGGCTCTGTCGTCAAGGGGCTGGAGTGCCCCCCTGGCGAGTTTGCTGGAGGACCCCAGAGCAATGTCCCTCTTGCAGAACCTGCAGCCCAAGTGAGGGAAGGAGAACCCAGGAGAGGCACAGAGCAAGCCCTGGGACTTACTTGATTCCAGGAACCTCGCAGGACTTGGGCCTGGACCCCGCCTGAAACAGAAGACAGCAGAGGCTGAGCACCCTGCGAGGCCAGGAGACGCTCAAGCACTGGGTGTGGGTCCCACAGAAGAGGCCCCGGGTGGAGAGAGTGCCTGCTCATGCCAGGGCAAGCCGAGAGTTACACAGAGAGGGTCTCCCAACAGGTCCCTTCTCCGGCTCCCGCCCTGACAGGCACACAGGCAAGGGTCCCATGACAGGTCGGGTATCAGGCAGTCAGCAGCCACAGGGGCAGCTGGGAACGTGGGCCTGAGTTCCCCGGAGCTGTCTCTATCCTCCAGACCCTGTCCCCAGGCCATGGCAGCCAGGGTGCCCGGGTCAAGTCCCTGAGTGGCCACCAGCCTGGAGGGGAGTAAGGCCCCAAGTCCAAGGCAGGGATGGACACTGAGTCAGGGCAGCCCCAGGAGGCTTGACCGGGACGCCCTACCCACGGCTCAGGGGCCACTGCCCCTGCCTCGGGCTGAGCAGTCTCCCAGTGGTACCCGGAGGTGTGACTCCCAGCAGGCCTCTGGGGCTCTGCCAACCCTGAGTCCTGAGATATCCCTCTGCTCTGCAGGAGGCCATGATGCTCCCCACGGACCAGAGCTCAGAGGCTCCTGATGTCACATTAGTTCTCACTCCTGGCTGGAGATGCTTCCTGGACCCGTGGTATGTGGTGGGCCCCACGCGGGGGCCCCTCTATGGCATGGCCCACAGACACCTTGCACATCAAAGCCAGGGGAAGGGTTCTTCCTCCCTAAGCGATCAGAACTTCCAGCAACAGAAAGTAAATCGAGGTGAAGAGACTGCGACACGCCTCCTTGGGTTCCAGGCTATGGGGGCTGAGGAGCACCCTGTGGTCAGCCCCAGGAGCAGTGCCCAGGGAACCTTGCTGGCAGCAAGACCTGGGTTTCCTGTTCACAGACAAAGGAGGGAACCTCTTCTGATAGGGCAGGCATGACTGAACAGAGCAGAATGTTGACGGAGGGCTCGGCACCCCGTGCTTCCGCTGCCTGGGCCCTGGGGCGGGTGGAGTTCCTGGGGATTATCAGAGTTTGAGAAAGGCCTGCAGCCTGGAGGGCGGGCACTGGAGTGCACACACACCAAAGGGAAATGCAATTGGGTCCCGGTGGCGTGCGACTGGTGAGCCTTAAGCCTCTGCCGGGAAGGCAGGCGGAACGGGTTTCTACTTGGCCAGAGGCTCCTTAATTCTGAGAGTAAACATTTGCCTCATTATAGGATTTCTGCAAGGCACGAGAGGACTTTCTAAAGAACGCTTTGAAAAGCATTCCCCGAACATTCTGGAGGCGTTCATGGATTTCTGAACTGCTTAGAAATTCACCCACTGCCCTCCCCCATGGGGGTGTGCTCCCTCTGCCATTGTCCCTTGCTTCAGTGCCAGCACCACTTCTGGTGACACAAATGGACTGTGAACAACTTACTCACCTCTCTGCTGCTGGACGTTTGTTTTCCCACTTTGTTTGGGTTGTTAGAAGTTTTTTCTTTAAGAGCCAGAGTCTTGCTATGTTGCCCATGCTGGTCTCAAACTCCTGGACTCAAGCCATCCTCTCACCTTGGCCTCCTGAGTAGCTGGGGCCACAGGTGTCCGCCATCACTCCTGGCTAATTTTTAATTTTTAATTAATTTTGAAGAGATGGGGTCTTGCTATGTTGCCCAGGCTGGTCTCAACTCCTGGGCTCAAGCAGTTCTCCTGTCTTGGCCTCCCAAAGTGCTTAGAAATCTTTTTCAGTGTTTTGTTTTCCCCTGGAGTATGAAAGTCCCAGGTACTCCCTGGGCCAAACTGAAACATACAGATAGGGTTGAATGGCCCACAGGGCTGCCCACACCTGCCTCGAGAGAGAGGACACGCAGCTCTTGTGTGGCTCCTCCTCTGGACTTGCCTGCAGGTGTGTGCCCCAACGCACCTCTGTGTGGTTTATGCCTTTTCTTTTTTCTGAGTTGGAGTCTCACTCTGCCACCCAGGCTGGAGGGCAGTGGCACACTCACAGCTACTGCAGCCTCAACCTGCCCTAAGCCTTCCAAGTAGCTGGAACCACAGGGGCAAGCCACCACGCCCAGCTAATTTTTTGGTTTATTATACATGTTGCCGAAGAAAGCACAATTTTTGGGTTTATTGTAGAAACGAGGTCTCGCCAAGTTGCCCAGGCTGGTCTCGAACCCTTGGGCTCAGGCAATCCTCTAGCCTCCACTTCCTAAAGTGCTGGGATTACAGGTATAAGCCGCCATACCCGGCTGGTTTATGCCTTTTCAAATATCCTCTCCCAGGTCCCCACATGCTGGCAGAAGCAGGAGTGTCTCCTGTGCCTTCAGAATTCCTGAAAGATACACCTCCACGAGGGACAGAAGATACCTTCTCAACAAATCCCCCAGCTTGAACGTTTGGGTTGTTTCTTTTTTTTGAGTTGGAGTCTTGCTCTGTCGCCCAGACTGGAGTGCAGTGGCTGCTCCCGGTTACTGTAGCCTCGACTTGCTGGGCTCCGGCGATCCTTCCACCTCAGCCTTCCAAGTAGCTGGAACTACAGGCGCATGCTACCATGCCCGGCTGATTTTTGATTTATTGTAGAGATGAGGTCTTGCCAAGTTGCCCAGCAGGTCTCGAACCCACGGGCTCAGGCAATCCACTCACCTCAGCCTCCCAAGGCGCGGGATTACAGGCTGAGCCACCGAGCCCGGCGGGGGGGGGGGGTTTGTTTCTAGATTATTTCCAAAGCTCTGGATAAACACCTGTATACATATAGCTGTGTGCACATGCCTCACCTCCTTGTGAGTGGCTCCTTGAGGAATGCGAATCCTGGAGCAAACGCTCCTGAAGGGTTTTGTTTGTTTCTCTGAGTCAAGGTCTCACTCTGTAGACTGGGCTGGAGCTGGAGTGCCGTGGCACGGTCATGATGACCACAGCTCACTGCAGCCTCGACCTCCTGGGCTCAGGCGATCCTTCTGCCTCAGACTCCCGAGAAGCTGGGACTATAGCTCATGCCACCACACCTGGCACATTGTTTTGATTTTATGTAGAGATGAGGTCTTGCTATGCTATGTTGCCCAGGCTGGTTTTGAAACCCTGGGCTCAAGTGATCCTCCCACCTTGGCCTCCCAAAGTGCTGAGATCACAGGTGTGAGCCACATGCCCGGCCTGAAAGGCTTGTGATGCAGGCTGGTGTATCATCTCCCTCGAGGGAACGAGCAAGTTGTGTTGCATCCCTCTTATTGCCACCTGACCAGCGATGGGTTTTAATTCTTTGTGAGTTTGCCGGTTTTGCAGGCAAGCTGTTGGGGTTCTCCAAATTTGGGCCCAGGCAGATCCGAGGGTCACTCCTCAGGAAGGCGAAGCCCCTGCCCCCACGCGCCATTCTGTCCCCTTTGCCTGGACTATACTTGGAACGGAAGGAAGGCAAGGCACTTTGGAAAGCCCATGCCCTTACCTTCTTGGCATCCCACGCTTGCTTGGAAAGGCTTTCGTCTGCCTCTGAGGCAGTCTCTTCCATCCCAGGGACTGTCAACAGCAAGACTGGATGGGGGTGGGGGAGAAGCAGAATTAGAGGAGAAATCCATAGGCAGCCGCCCGCCGCACCAGAGGACACGTCCGTGACAACTGAGTCACGGCCGTGGTGAGACAGTAACTGGCAGGACCCTGACTTCTGGTGCTTGGGCTAAAGCTACAAATAAACAGGTTCCATTTTAAAAAATGTTTCCAATAAGCCAGAGAATCTGCGACTTAAAACAAAATAAAAACAAAATCTCTGGAGCCTGGAGATGCATTGGCTCTGCCTCTGCACAACTAGCCAGGCCTGGAGGCCATGGGCTGGGAACAGCTGGGATCCCCCCACCCTACTCCCAGCAGCTGCCCAGCTCCAGGTACCCACGGGGCCTGTTCTGCACCCACAATCAGTCTGAGCTGCCGGCACGCAGTGGCCGGGCCCTTCTTGGGCCACTGGCACCAAACCCAAAGGTTCAGACCCTGCCGCTCAGTGTTGGCTGGGTGGATCCCCCATGGTGGCAGTGGCCTGTGAGTTTGCCACAATACCGACTGGCCCCAGAGCAAGAGAGAAGGTGGGGACCATCTGAGGGATGGGTGGGTGGCGTCACTGGAGGCCCTGGAACCAGTCATGCCTGAAGGCCCCTTCCTTGGCCCTTTTAGTCAAGGTGATATTAAATGTTCCTTAGTTTCTTGATGCTTGTTGGAGGTTCCATTTTTTTCCACTTGTGACTGAGACAGGAAGAACCAACAAAGCTGGATGGATCGATTCCTCCTTCTTGAAACCTGGCCTGGGAGTAGGGGGAGGCGGCCAGGCCAGCCCCTCACCCTGTGACCACTTCAGCCCTACTAGGAGAGTAGGGACAGGTGACACATCCCCCTGACCCACCATTCCAAGGTCAACCGACTCTGAGCCACCAGGGTCCCTTCCATGGTGACAGTGTCCCAAGGGATGGCAACATCCTTGTACTTACCCCGAAAGCCCTGTTTGTGGGGGAACCACCGGGGAAGGCAGCAGTCTCAGAAAAGTCCCCCCTCCACCATCAGGAAGAGCAGGGAGTCCCGGGCACTGGGCCTGCCACGTCACCCAGTGTTCTACAAGCTTCTAACTGTGGGGACACCGTGTGCACACCTCGCCACTGCCACATACTGGGCTGGAACCCCAGGTGAGGATCTGGCTGCCAAACTCTCCTCGATCCCCTTGTAGATGGACACAGCCCCCGGGACCCACTGCCCCAGGGTAGTCAGCAACCAGCACTCACGCCTTAACCATTTCTGACACTCTGGCTCTGTGTAAGGGCCAGACTGCTGTGTGGGGTTTCCTGGCAATGGTCTCCCAGCAACCAAGCTCCCCTCTCTGAGTGGCGTCAACTGTTTTTCCTTCTTCCTTTTTTTGAGTTGGGGTCTCACTCTGTCGACCAGGCAGGAGTGCAGAGGCACGCTCATGGCTCACCACGGGCACTCAGATGATCCCCTCCCCTCAGCCTCTTGAGTAGCTAGGATTACGGGCACTATCACGCTCACCTAATTTTTTAATTTTTTGTAAAGATGATGCTTCGCTATGTTGCCCAAGCTGGTCTCAAACTCCTGGGTTCAAGGGATCAGTGCCACCCATTTGTGAGGTGGAGCATACCCTCCCCAAAGGTACCCTGAGGCTGCCTCTACACCTAGTCAGAAAGGCTCTGCCCAAGTTGAGGAGAGCCGCCTCCTCCCCCAGCGTAGCCAGGATGAGCCCGGGGCTGTGCCTGAGGAGGGCTCTAGGCCGCAGGGCTGGGAAGCGGTCCGGCATGCAGCCCTACTACATCGAGCTGCACCTGAAGCTGAAGGCCTGCCATTAGGCTGCTGGACATAAGCTGAGAAATGGCCTTTCTGATGGACTCGTTGCCTTCTGCATTTAAAACAAGAATCTGCATAGCCCCCAGACTTCTTGGCCATGCCACGAGTCCAGGAACGGAAGCCAACATGTGTTTGTAAGGATTGTTTTCTCTGCCTAGGAAACGCCGATGGATGCTTCCAAACCCAACTCAAGTAGCACCGCCTTGAAAGTTTCCCTGAGCCCTTCCACTTCCCCACAGCACAGTCTGAGTCTTCCCTCAAAGTTCTGTCCGGCCACAAGCTTGTGTGTGAGCACAGGTATCACCCACCGGACGCATCAGACTCCAGCAAAGATATCCAAGTCCCCTGTCCATACCTCTTTTCTGGTGTGCGTCCTGAGACGCCCCGGTAAAGGATTCTGGCTGTGTGGGCGTCATTGTGCTCTGGTGTAGGGCGGAATCAGAATTGGTCCTGAGGGGAGGGAAGAGAGAGACAGTGAGCCTTGGCTCCAGAGGAGTGAAGGGATGGTCCTGACCCCACCCAGTCTGGGACACCATGACAGACAGGGTGACAACTGGGAGTCATTTCTGTGAGATGCTGCACCTGAGCAGAGCCCTGAGGACACAGTTCTAGAAAGGACCACCAGAGGGACCATGGCTTCATCTGCAAAGCCATTGACAACTATAAGCATGGCTGCCTGTAATCCCAGCACATTGGGAGGCCAAGGTAGGAGGACTGCTTGAGCCCAGGAGTTCAAGACCAGCCTGGGCAACATAGAAAAACCTGGTCTCTAAAAAAAAAAAATTAAGTTCTTAAAAATTGAAAAGGCAGTGGAAGAGATGCCTCTTGGTTCCCAACCATCCTGTCCATCCCAGCCTTCTGCAGGCTCCTCGGCTTTACGGGGAGGATGGTGCCTTCTGCTGAAGACTCCCCAAGAGGGAGCCCTACAGGGGGCCTAGCCTCTGAGGTATGGTCCCAGCCTGTCATCGGGTCCCTTCCCGGCAGCAAACACAAATGGATGACCTTGCCCCCTGGGATGCTCTATCTGGGTGACAGGTGGAAAGGGAAGGCTTGGCGGTTCCAGAAGGAACACAGTCTCTTAGGGGCCCCCTAGCTGGGAAGACAACCTGAAGGAGTTCTTGCTTCAACCAGCCCAGTTGCTATTAAGAGTCTGGACAGGTTCCACCCTCTGCCCCCAGGGACCCTGCTTCTTGGAACCGATGATGAGAGAGGATAAGGTGACCCGATTACTCCCAGCCACAGGTGCAGGGAGGATGCCCAGAACAGCTCCCTGGCTGCCCAGCACAGTACAGGCCCAGCTGCTCATCTGGTAACTCAAGGACAGCAAGGGCCACGTGCACCGACGGGGATGTCCCAGCCACAGAGGTTTTCCTTAGAGACAGGGTTTCACTCTGTTGTCCAGACTGGAGTGCAATGACACAATCATGGCTCACCACAGCCTTGACCTCCTGGGCTAAGACAATCCTTCTGCCTCAGCCTCCCGAGTAGCTGAATCACAGGCATGCACCATCATGTCTAGCTAATTCTCTCTTTTTGTGTATGTGTGTATTTTTGTAGAGACAAGACCCAGGCTGGTTCCAAACTCCTGGGCTCAAATAATTCTCCTGCCTTGGCCTCCCCAAAGTGCTGGGATTACAGGCATGAGCCACTCACTGTGCCCGGCCTAAATGTACCATTTTAACTGTTTTTTGGTTTTTTTTCTTTTTGAGTTGGAGTCTCACTCTGTCACCCAGACTGGAGTGCAGTGGCCGCTCCCGGTCACCTCAGCCTCGACCTGCTGGGCTCCAGTGATCCTTCCACCTCAGTCTTCCAAGTAGCTGGAACTACAGGTAAGCGCTACCACGCCCGGCTAGTTTTTTGATTTATTGTAGAGATGAGGTCTCGCCAAGTTGCCCAGGTGGGTCTCGAACCCGCGGGCTCAGGCAATCCACTCACCTCAGCCTCCCAAAGGTGGGGGATTACAGGCTGAGCCACCAAGCCCGGCTCATTTTAATTGTTTTTAAGCATTAAGTCCACTCACACTGTTGTGTACCCATCGCCTGCATTATTACAATCATATTAACTACATTGTTAAGCTAGACCTTTCTAGACAATGGCATGATTTTGTCTCTTCAAGTACATTTATGTATTTTCCTCATCTCCCATCATAAATGTAGAAGAATGCTTGTATGATCACACTTTCTATTCTTTTTCTTCTTTCCCTTACTTTTGTTCTGTGTTATGATCACACATTCAGGGACTGCTGAGCATCGTGGGGCCTGTCGTGATGTGGCATTACGTGGGAAAGCAAGCCACAACACTGCACACCAATTTTGCTTAAAAACAAGTCCTAAAAGGGGAAGGAAAAATGCTGGCAGATACCCAAAGCTGCAACCTCAGTGTTGTGGGGAGAGAGCTAGTTTCTAGAAACTTCTGGATGCATCTTAGTTTTGTCATTTCTAAAGCAACTGTGCCCTGGTCCTCTGCACATAACCAGGGTGGAAGCTGGGTTTTGTGTCCAATCAGAGGGTGGGGCTGGCGCTGGCCACTGACCTCCTCCAGCTGGTGTCTGCGGGCGGCGAGAGGTACACAGTGCCGTAGGGACAGCTGTCGGCGTGTGTGAGTTAAGGGGTCGTTGTGTTGGCTCAGACCCGCCTGCACGACATGCTCTCAGCTGGGACTGCAGGGCTCAGCTGGGGGCTTGCAGGCAGCTGGGCCGGCGGGCCGGGCGTTTCCTGCTGGGCTTCCCCTCCTGGCCTTGAGTAGCCCCCGAATCCAGGGCTCCCCGGGGGTGGCCCCATCCACCTAGCACTCAGCATTCCACTAAGTGAGCACACGTGCAGGCCGCGCCCTTCCAAGGGGGCTCACTGTGAGACGGGTGGGGGTGAGGAGGGAGAGTCTGAGTTTAGCCGACCCTGATCCTGGCTCTTCATTCTGGGCCAAGGGCTTCCACAGCCCAAGGAAATGAGAATTAGAGAGCCAGCTTCCCTGTTCTGGAGAATGAGGGGCAGGGGGCCAGGAGCAGCCAGAGGCTGCTCAGACTCTGGTGATGGGGGGGCCAGCTGAGCTGGAGAGGGGCTGGTGTCTGCTGGACCCAGGCATTGAGGCCAATTCCACTCAGAGATGAAGCCTCCCTTGGATCTGTCTGGGTTTCGCTCTGACCCCTCAGCCCCACTGCCTCCAGCTGGGCTGCCCTCCATGCAGTTCCCAGGAGGGGTTCATTGGCTCACAGCCCTGCTACATGGCTCCATACTCACAGCCTGCCTGGTCCCACTGCCCAGCCGGACGTGCGAGTCCTCTGTCGTCCTATGTCAACCTCCTGAACTCTCGTCTCGGGAGTTGCTCCCTCCCTGCCTCGGACCCCAAGTCTGACTGAAGGAGCCTCACCCTGCAGGCCTGTCTCCTCTGGGATGTCCTCCCAGGTTGCCCCGGGACTGAGCCTCCCATTTGGGCCAGCCTGAGCCCATCAGGCAGAATTTCAGAGCTGACAGCAGGCAGCTCTGTCAGAGCCTACATTCACCAGCAGGGCCCAGTCCCCCGCCCGAGCCCTCCAGAAAAAAGGATATCTGCCGTCCGTGTTTATCCACCGACAGGGGCCGGCGGTGCGGGGAGCCAAGCCGGCCACGCTCCCGGTATACTCTGTCTACCAGCCCATGGTGCCGGGTGGTCCGGCTGGTGTCCAGGCCCGAGGACTGGAAGGGTGTCTGAGAGTGGGGTAGGGGATGGAAACAGAGAGAAATCCAAACAACAGTGGTCACCAGCTGCAGCTGAGACACGCCCGGCTTTGCCCTGGGGTCTGATCTCAGGGCACCCCACTCCAGAGCACGCTCGGCCATGGCTCCACAGCCTGGGATGGGCTCATTCCTTCGCCCTGGCTCCCAGGCCCCCCGAGTGCTGGGGGGCAGGGAGGGGCGCAAGCCAGGGCCCTGGGAGCCAGGGCAGCAGGCGTGCAGTGCGCTGGCATGCACAGGCCAGGCAGAGCAGCAAAGCTCGGGACCCAGCGCCGGCCGGGGGGCAGGGGTACAGCTGACTGCGGCCCTCTCCCCAGCCCTGCCAGGTGCACACCGGCCTCCGCCCTCTCTCTGCAGGCCTGGCTGGCCCCCACACCCTACATCATCCCTGGAGGGGCCCTCCCAAGAGACGGCTGCAGCTCTGGCCCAGGACTGCTGCGGGGCCCACCCGGCTGAGCCTGGCTCCCAGGAGGCAGCCTCCCCCAGCCTCGTCCTGGCGCTGCTGGGAGCCCACCAAGCACAGGCGCTTTCCGGAGCCCTGGCTCGCTGCGTGGCCACATGGGCTTCCTCCCGGCACCTGGGGCTGGCATGTGCCCAGGCCAGGCCTGCTCCCTGCCCAGCTCCATGCCCTGGGGCCGCCAGGAGCTGCCCTCACCTTCCCAGGCCCTGTGCTGCCCACTCGCCATCTGACCGAGCCGAGAGGTGGCCTCTGCCAGCTCCGGCCACGGCCAATTCCCATGCCCGGCCATCTGGCCCCTGTGCCCTTCTGCCTTCTCTGGCAGCCGAGCAAAGGTGGTTCTGATCTCAGAATGAGTCTCCCCTTCCGGAGACAGAGATGGCTAGGATTGCTGCTGTCCCCACCCATCCACATGCCGCGGCCGGAGACCAGGGCTGCCTGCTGTCCCTAGGGCCTGGAGACTCCAGAAGCTGTGTCTGGTCCAGCAAGGACTCTGCTGGTTTAGGTCTTCCTGCACTTTTGTCCCCAAAAGACCATGGATGCCTCTGGGGAGACATGAGCCCACAACAGTGAGGATGGAACCATGCTGTCCACGGCCCAGGCCCAGAAAGGCAGGGCCATTCACCTACATCCTCCCAGAGATGCCATGAAGCCCAGAGGGGAAACTGAGGCAGCCGAAGCAGAGTCAGAGGCACAATGAAGCTGGGCCGGCCACGCCTTGGTTCACCAGGTTCCACCTATGGCCTAGCTTAGGCCGCGCACACACACGTGTGTGTGCAGAGGGAGGGGCCATGCAGCTTGGGACACATGCTTGGATTCTGCTCCACTGGACCCAAACGGGGATGCGCGACTCTGGCATTTGTCCCAGCGGACCCCCAAGAATCCTGGGGTCTCTTGACGTGACCATACGCACTTCCCAAGACAGGGGTACAGACCAGATCCGTTTCCGTTTGGAGGATGGGACACCTCCCTGGGAGCCGCGGGGCGGCCACTCGGGGAGCCCAGGGATACCCAGCGCCCACACACGGGTCGGGGTCTCGCAGGCTGGCGCCAGGGACACCACGGCCTCAGCCTGGGGGCTCATTTACCAGAGAGACAGGAGCTGTTGCCAGGGCCTCCCCCAGAAATCCGCTGGGCTGAAAATGCAAAGAACCAAGACTTTGAGATACGTGGGACCCCCTGGGCTGCAGCCTTGGGCGACAGATGCCCAACAGGGCCCTGTGCCCCTCGCCCCCCAAGTGGGGCTGAGCTGGAGGTGCCCAGATGGAGGCTCTCCTCCAGAGAAGAGCAATGTAGGGACTCGGAGGGGGAGGATGGGAAGAGGAGAGGAGACACCCCCAGAAGGGCTTTAACAGAGCGCACCAAATCAGTGATGGCCTGTAAGAGTGCCCAACAAGGAGCCGGGAGTCAGCCTGGGACTCCTGCCCTGTCCCAGTGGAGTGCGGGTGGGGAGGGGGCTGGAGGTGATGGCTCCGCCTGGCCGATCTAGGAACAGGGCTGTGTTCCGGAAGGTTTCCCAGCAGTAGGGAGGCTGTGTGACCATGAGGGGACCAACCTGGGGACGGTCCCGACTCACAGGCCAATTCCCCTGCCCCTGCTTCCAACCACAGCCTGGGACCAGGGACCAGGAGCATCATGGACCTTATCTCTGGTGATTCATGATAAGGCCATGCACTGCTGTGCGGCCAGCAGGAGCCGCGCTGCGTGGGTCTCTGCCAAGAAATGTCTGCAGACAAGTGGGGTCAGGCTGCTGGGCCTCCTTCTGAGAACTGCTGGGCTTGCGGATTAGTGAGGTGGGACAGAGCCAAGCCCCAGTGGCCCCAAGCAGTTCCTGCTCCGCACAGCCGGCCAACAGGTGGAGCGGCTGCCGGACGCTCCCGGCCAGACCCAGGGCTCGCTGCAGGGTCTGCTGGCAGGGGCGGGCTGGGGGCAGGATGAGTGCTGGAGGAGCTCCGTTTCCTCTGGTTCCAGGCTAGAAAAGGCGGGGCGGGGAGGGCTGGCAACTGTCCGCAGCACCGGCCTGGCAGAAGGAGAGCAGGGGCAGGGCTCACCTGGAAGGGCAGGTCCATGGTGCCACTCCCGATCTGGTTCACGTTGGGCAGTGACCCGCCGTAGTACTGGCCACGGCTCGGGCCCAGCTGCAGATACTGGGACTTCTGGAGCTGAAGCTGCAGAGAAAAGCCAGCAGCTGTGGTGGGCGGGACGCCCCCAGCACATCCCCCAAGCCCCCGGTCCAAGGGTACCAGACACACCTGGTCCAGAAGGGGTTGGATGCTCGTGTCTCAGGTTCTCAAAGAAACCAAGTGTCCCTCTACCCAAAATGGCAGATTCAAGAGCCCGGGCCCAGTTGCGGTCCCAAAACCCCCACCGTGAACAGGGGCATAGGCTGTCTTGCGGGTTGCTCCAGCCAGTTAGTGGATGTGCAGGCAAGGGTCTGGTGGGCTTGGGCCTGCCAAGGAGGCCCCTCGCAGTCCAGGAAGCCACTTCCCACCACAGCCAGGGGCTGCGAACTGACAGCCCAGATGCGAGAGAGCCTCCCCACAGGCCTCAATCAGAGGGGTTTCTGGAAAGCAGTGCTGGCCTTCAGAGTAGGGGCTTGTAATCTTCACACAGGACTGGGTCAGGCCCAGGCTGAACTCTAGGAGATCCTGCTCGAGACCCCCGCCTCCTTCTGTGTGTTCCACTGGCCTCAGCTGAGCGCCCAGCTGAGGCCCAGCTGAGCGCCAGCATCAGGGTGCCACTCCTGCTGGTAACTTCCCTGCTGAACAGGGCTCAGAGCCAGGGCTCCCCAACCGGTATGCCACCTTAAAGCGGGGCTGGAACCTGCCCTTGGCCCTCTCACACAGCTGATGCCAATTTTCTGGGAATGGATGCTCTGGCCCAGGCAGCATGACCCATGGCGCTGGGGATGCCAGTCCACGCAGCCGGGGAAGGCCATCAAAAGTTTGAGGCGGTAGCCGGGCACACGGGGAGGGTGGGTGGTGCTCTAGCCCCAGCAGGGACGGTTGCTAGGGTGGACACTGTGTACACAACAGGGCCGGCTTGCATTCCCTCACAAGCAGCTCCTGGCAGTGCTCTGAGTGCCGGCCGCCCCCAGCTTCCTGGGGGGCCCTGGACACTGGAAGGGAAGTGGAGTCGGGAACTGGCCGCCCGCCCAGCCCAGCACCTCGCCCAGGTAAACAGCTGTTTCCTGCAGGCGGCAGTGGGGCCGATGGTGAGATTAGCCTCGTGCATTCTCGAGCGGCTCTTGGGGGCCTCTGAGGCCTCCCAGGGTCTGTGCTAGGAGGCCTCAGCTCTCAGGGGCCACTGGCCAGAGCGCCCACCATGGACGCCCACTATGTCCCCCTAGAAGTCATGCCAGATGGGACAGGCCAGCCCCAGGCTGGGGTAGGCGCGGTTGTGGGGGTCCCCACGGCTCCTGGCCTCACCGCTGCCTGGGAGCAGGTCACCTCTAACCTCCCATGACCTCCCACATCCTTGTGTCTGAGCTGCGCAGTAGGAACCTGGGCCACGTCCATCTCTCACTGATCACATGTCCCCTTGTGGGTCTCGGTTTCCCCTCCCTGGAGTGAGTCGTGCAGGAAGTGCTCACACCACACACCCTTTCCACACAGGCTGATTTGCTAGCTCCTGGGAGACCAATATCAGGCTAGAACCCCCGGCAGTGTCTGGTTTGCAACTGTGTCTCCAGGGCAGAGGAGGCCTGGCACTCAGGGATGACTGAAAGGACAGGACAGCAGGACATTCGTGGTTCCCCACCCCATTGCCTAAGCCTTTGTATCCCCGGACTTTGTAGTGCAGTCTGTGGGTCTGGAACAGATGTCACAGGGGCACTCTGCTCTTCCTTGGGGGACCCCACACTCATGCTTGGCTGCACATGGGCTTGTGTTGTAAAGCACTGACGTGGCCCAAAGGAAGGTCTGGCCTCTGTCCCCTGGGAAGTGACCTCAAACCATACCGGACAGTCTTCACGCTGTGACCTGGGGCAAGGCCAGGGGCCACAGTCAATATCAGCTCAATGTTGGCTATGTTTGAAGGACCAGCCCTCAATAAAGACCCTGGACACTGAGACTTGGGGCACCCCTGGCTGGCTGCGCTCCACGTCACATGCCGATCCTGGGGAATTATGGGCTGCCCACTAACTCCAGAGCAGCGACAGGCAGCAGCCCCAGCCCAGCCCCCCTTGCCTGAGCTCTATGCCTCTTCCTTAGATGATCCCATCTGGGTTCTTTCACTATGAGAAACTATAAGGGGCAAATGTAATGGCTTCCAGTGAGTTCTGTGAATCCTTCCAGTGAGCTGTCAAGCCAGAGGACGGTCTTGGGGATGCCCAGCTCTGCAGAAGCAGACCATCCTCCCAGGCTTGCTGGAACTCCTGGGAATGGGGTCCTCCCTTCAGGGTTCCAGAGTAATGAGACGCCAACCTGGGCTCTACCCCACAGACCTCCCGCCTCAGTGATGCTGCTGGACAGGAAACAAGTTCAAAGTTCACCTCTTCCCACAGCCAAGTCATAGTCCCTTGCTCTGCCCTTCATCCAAGTGGCACCACCACCCCCTCCACTCTGCTCCCGCAAACCACAGAGACTTGCCGACACAGAGTCACAAACCCAACGGCCCAAGCCTGTCGCCCAGCAGCACTGCTGGTAGAATCCACAAGTGTTCTAGATGGGATCCCCAGGCACTCAGGTAGCAGACCACAAGGTGGCTGGAGGTTGGCCTGACCTGTGACCTGCCCTGTAGCTGCCCAGACACCACTGTCATGGAAGTCTCTTGGCCAAGCTGCCGGGGGCCTGCAGCCCATGTTGGCTCCTGTCTCCATGGATGACAGCACCTGCCCCAGCTGTTACTCAGGCTTGTAGTCCTTGCATTCCTCTAACATGTGTTTTTGTTTTGTTTTGTTTTGACTTGGAGTCTCACTCTGTTGCCCAGGCTGGAGTGCAGTGGCACATTCACAGCCATTCCAGCATCTACCTGCTGGGCTCCGGCGGTCCTCCCACCTTAGCCTTCCAAGTAGCTGGAACTACAGGCGTGTGCTAACACATCCAGCTAATTTTTGATTTATTGTAGAGATGAGGCCTTGCCATGTTGCCCGGGCTGGTCTCGAACCTGTGTGCCAGGAAATCCACTCTCTTTGGTCTTCCAGAGTGCTGGGATTATAGGCTAAGCCACCGAGCCTGGCCAACATTAAGCACCTACTGCATGCATCTAACAGAAGGGATATGCACAGGTGCAGCCCTCTTGGAACTTGGATGCTCGCGTACGTGGGAAAGAAGGAAGGAAGGATATGTTGTGCTGACTGGTTCAGGATAAACAGGCTTCTGACTTGGATAAGTAGCCTGGCAGTCTTCCCGGGGAAGGTAGTGCCAGTACTAAGTGAGCACTTCCAGATGCCCCAAGTTGCAGGAAGGTGTGAGGAGTAGAGTGGGGTGGAGCCCGTGGACACACCAGGCTCAGATTCTGGGATGAAGGACCAACCCCCAGCAAAAGTAGCTCAGAGCGGTCCCTACCTACAGGGATAGGTGCTGTTTTTTTTTGTTTGTTTGGAGTCAGGGTCTCTATCCACTGGACTGCAGTGGTACAATCCTGGCTCACTGTAGCCTCAATCTCCTGGGCTCAGGTGATCCTCCCGCCTCAGCCTCCACAGTAGCTGGGAAGACAGCACCACCATGCTTAGCTAATGTTTTTATTTTTTGTAGAGACAGGGCCCTGCTATGTTGCTGGTCTTGAATTCCTGGGCTCAAGTGATTCTCCTGACTCAGCTTCCCAAAGTGCTGGGATTACATGTGTGAACCATCACACCTGGCTGAGAGATGTCTCTTAAATTGACACTGCCTATGATTTACCTCTGAGGGAGACAGGAGAGGCAGGGCCAGAAAAAAAACAGAGTCCAGGTGCAGTGGCTCATACCTGTAATTCTGGCACTTTGGGAGGCTGAGGAGGGAAGACTGCTTGAGTCCAGGAGTTTGAGACCAGCCTAGGCAACATAGCAAGACTTTGTCTCTACAAAAAAATTTAAAAATTAGCTGGGCATGATGGCGTGTACCCATAGCCCCAACTACTCGGGAAGCTGAGGCAGGAGGATTGCCTGAGTCCGGGAGGTCAATTCTGCAATGAGCTGTGGTCATGCCACTGCACTCCAGCCTGGGTGACAGAGTAAGACCCTGACCCACAAAAAAAAAAAAGAAAGAAATGAGTGTATTAGCATGTGAGTGAGTGAATGAATGAGTGCATAAACAAATGAATGAACTAACACTGCTGTCCTACTCTCTAGCGCTGACCTTCACAAGCCAGGTGACAGGCAGGGCTGGAAGCTACATGAGCAGCGGAGGTTAGAACCCAGCAGGTCCTGGGCGGCAGCTTGAACACCCCCTTCCTCGATGGGTTCCAGCGGGCTCAGGTGATCTTGATACACAACCCTCACTCAGGGTGGCAGCTGGCTCCGCAGGGATCCTCCAGGAGGTGCCACAGCTCCCAGCTGCCCTGTATGGAGGCTCAGGGCCCATGTGGGGCTGGAATGCCCCCACACCCATCCTCACAGCCGTCAACAAGAGAGGCCACAGTCAAGAGGCTGTCACAGGAATGGGGGAGCTGTGGCCCCAGGGACCCCATCAACTCACAGTGGGTCAGACAGACCGGGGTCCTGATGAGGTCCCCCAACTGTGAGGGCAGACCCCACCTGAGAGCCTGGCACTCGTGACCCACACCTCCAGCCCAGCCTTCCAGCCCTCACCCCTCCAGCCACCCCAAGCCCCAGAATGCCCCAAACTTATGCCCCAGTCCCCACGCAGGGCCTTGACCTGCAACAGCCACCTCCACCCCTTCTTAGAGGGATCTCCCCAAGTCACTGTCGCACCAGCCTTCAGCTTTGCCATCTTAGTCCAGCTTTATTGTGAAGTTTTAGATTTACAGCAGAACTGCAAAGAAGGTCAAGTGGTGCTGCAGAAAGCCCCCTGCGCAGCTTCCCATAAGGCGAACCTCCTGTCACTGGGGTATACACGTCAAAACTAAGACCACACCTCAGTCTGCCTGGCTCACTGACCTCCTGGGCTGTCTGTGTGCCCCCGGTCTCAGGGCTGCTTCATCACAATAACCATGACTGAAACACCTTCGCCTCTGAACCTGCCTGCTCTTCTGTGTCCTGATCCCCCGCAGGGCACACCTGAGCCCT